GGGTTTCACCATGTTGACCAGGATGGTCTCAATCTCTTGACCTCGTGATCCACCCGCCTCGGCCTCCCAAAGTGCTGGGATTACAGGCTTGAGCCACTGCACCCGGCCCGATTTTGGCCGTTCTAATAAGTGTATATTTTGGCCGTTCTAATAAGTGTATATTTTGGCCGTTCTAATAAGTGTATAGGAGTATCTCATTGTTTTAATTTTAATTTGCATTTCCTTGGTGATACAATATGGAGCATCTTTTCATATGCTCATTGTCCATCTGCATATCTTTTCTGGTGAGGTGTCTGTTAACGATTTTTTTTGTTAGACAGGGTCTGGCTCTTGCCCAGGCTGGAGTGCAGTGGTATGATCTTGGTTCACTGCAGCCTCCCACTCCTGGCCTCAAGTGCTCCTCCACCTCAGCCTCCAGAGTAGGTGGGACTACAGGCACATGCCACCATGCCTATCTAATTTTTTGTGTTTTTTGTCAAGATGGGGTTTCACCATGTTGCCCAGGCTAGTCTTGAACTCCTGACCTCAAGCGTTCCACCTGCCTTGGCCTCCCAAAGTTGGGATTATAGGTGTGAGCCACTGCTCCTGGCCTGTTGATATCATTTTTAAAATTGGGTTATTTATTTTCATACTGTTGAGTTTTAAGAGTTTTTTTGTATATTTTGTACAAGTCTTTTATCGGACATATTTTTGCAAAATACAGTATTTTCTCCCAGTCTGCAGCTTGCCGTTTTTTTCTCTTGACATTGTCTTTTGCAGAGCAAAACATTTTAATTTTAATAAGGTTTAGCTTATTGATTCTTTCATGGATCATGCCTTTGGTGTGTCTAAAACATCATTGCCAGCCAGGTGTGGGGACTCATGCCTATAATCCCAGCATTTTGGGAGGCTGAGGTGGGCAGATCACCTTAGGTCAGGAGTTCAAGACCAACCTGGAAACCCCATCTCTACTAAAAATACAAAAATTAGCTGGGCATGGTGGTGGTTGCCTGTAATCCCAGCTACTCAGGAGGGTGAGGCAGGGAGAATTTCTTGAACCCAGGAGGCAGAGATTGCGGTGAGCAGAGATTGTGCCACTGAACTCCAGCCTGGGCGGCAGACAGAGAGACTGTCTCAAACAAAAAGCCATAATTGCCAGCTAGGTATGGTGGCTCATCTTTGTAATCCCAGTGCTTTGGGAAGCAGAAGTAGGAGGATCACCTGAGGCCACAAGTTTGTGACCAGCCTGGGCAATGTAGTGAGACCTGGCCTCTACGAAAAATTAATAAATAAAAAATTAGGTTGGTGTGGTCGTGTGCTCCTGTAGTCCAGCTACTCAGGAGGCTGAGGTGGGTGGAAGCCTCCCTTGAGCCCAGGAGTTGAGGCTGTGGTGAACTATGGTCGTGCCACTGCTCTCTAGCCCGGACGACAGAGAAAGACCCTGTCTCTAGACAAAACAAAACAAACAAACCCCTGGGTCATCTAGGTTTTTTCCTATGATATTATCTTGGAGTTTTATAGTTTTTTACATTTAGCCTCTGTGATTAATTGTTTTTGTATGTCCAGCTCTAGCCTCATTTATTGAAAAGATGATCTTTGTTCCATTGTATTTCCTTTGCTTCTTTGTAAAAGATCAGTTGATTATGTTTATGTGGGTCTCTTCCTGGGTTCTGAATTCTGTTCCTTTGATATATTTGTCCATTCTTTTATCAATACCACACTGCCTTAATTACTGTAGCTTCATAGCAAGCCTTAAAGTAAGGTAGTACCAGTTCTCCAACTTAGTTTTTTTTCCTTTAATATTGTGTTGGGTATTCTAGGTCTTTTTGCCTCTCTATATAAACGAAAGAATTCGTTTTTAAAAATGTGTATACCAAATAACTTGCCAGGTTTTTGACTGGGATTGTAATGAATCTATAGATCATGTTGGGAAGAATTGATATTATGAAAATATTGAGGTTTTTTGTTTTGTTTTGTTTTTTTCTGAGACAGAGTTTCACACTGTTGCCCAGGCTGGAGTGCAGTGATGCGGTCATGGCTCCCTCCAGCTCAAGTAACCCTCTGCCCCAGCTTGCTGAGTAGCTGGGACTAAGGAGCACACCACTATGCCTAGTGAATTTTTAAATTTCTTGGAGGGACAGAGTCTCACCATGTTCCCTAGGCTGGTCTTGAACTCTTGGGCCCAAGTGATTCTCCTCCCTTGGCCTCCCAAAGTGCTGGGATTACAGGTGTGATCCACCATGACTGGCCAAATAGTAACTCTTCCTATTCATGAAAATGACTTATCTCTCCATTTAGTTAGTTCTTTAATTTCTGTCATCAGAGTTTTTTAGGTTTCCTCATACAGATTTTGTACATATTTTGTTTGATTTCTACCTAAGTATTTCATGTTTTGGGAGGCTAATACAAGTGGTATTGTGCTTTCAAATTCAAATTCCACTTGCTCATTGCTGGTTTATAGGAAAGCAGTTGACTTTTGTATATTAACCTTGTGTCCTATAACCTTACTATAATTGCTTACTAGTTCCAGGATTTTTTTTTTGTTGTTGATTCTTTGGCTTTTCTACATAAACTACCCTGTCATTTATGAAGAAAGTTTTATTTCTTGCTTCCCAGTCTATATCCCTTTTATTTCCTTTTCTTGTCTTATTGCATTAGTTAGGACTTCTATTATGATGGTAAAAAGGAGTGGTGAGAGGGGGCATCCTTGCCATTATGGCGTTAACCTTAAGTTTCTTACCATGAAGCATAATATTAGCTATAGGCTTTTAATGGATATTCTTGACCAAATTGAGGAAGTTCCTCTCTCTTTTTTTTTTTTTTTTTTTTTAAGAAACTGATGTTTATTTTCCATCAACTTTATTTCCATGTTGCTTAAGAGTGTGTGCAAGAACAGCTTAAGACCATTCAGTGGTTGCTCCTACTCATTCAGTGGTGTGAGCAGTGGGAGCTGCAGACCAGTCTTCCGTGGCAGGCTGGGCACTCCAGTCTTCAGTAGGGAACTGCTGGATAGGCACAGAGGGCACCTGCATGCCTTCAGACCAGTCTGCACCCTCAGGCTGAGGAGCAGTGAACTCAGGAGCTGGAGCAGTCCATTGGCCCTGAAATTTCTCCTTGGTCACAGCCTTTTCAGCAGCAGCCTGCTCTTCTTTTTCGATCTCTTCAGGATCTCTGTAGAAGTGGAGATTAGGCATGACCTCCCACAGGTGTTCATGGGAAAGGGTGCCACGCATGCGCAGAACTTCCTGAGCCAGCATCCACCACATCAGACCCACTGAGTGAGCTCCCTTGTTGCATGGGATGACAATGTCCACATGGTACAGAGGAGAATCTGTGTTACACAGAGCAATGGTAGGCAGGTTAACATAAGACGCCTCCGTGAGAGGCTGGTGGTCAGTCTTGGGGTCAGTAACCACAAGAAGCTGTGGCTCCCAGAAGGCTGCCTGGATCTGGTTAGTGAAGGTTCCAGGAGTGAGGCGGCCAGCAATTGGAGTGGCTCCAGTGGCAGCAACAAACTTTAGCATGGCCCTCTGGCCAGTATTCCTGGAGGATTATAACACTGACATCAGCAGGGTTTTCAATGGCAACAATGGCATGGCCAGCAGAAGCTTCTCCCAGGTCCTCTGGAGATTTATGACGTAGATGCCATCACTTTTTTTTTTTTTTGAGATAGAGTCTGGCTCTGTTGCCAGGAGCCAGGCTGGAGTGCAGTGGCGCAATCTTGGCTCACTGCAACCTCCGCCTCCCAGATTCAAGCAATTCTCCTGCCTCAGCCTCCTGAGTAGCTAGGATTACAGGTGCATGCCACCACACCCAGCTAATTTTTGTATTTTAGTAGAGACTGGGTTTCACCATCTTGGCCAGGATGGTTTTATATTTAAGTCCTTAATCCATTCTGAGTTGATTTTTATATATGGTATGACATAAGGATCCAATTTCATGATTTCTATTTTTTAAAAAATTTGTTAAGGTGTTTTGGCCCAGGATATGGTCTATGTTGGTGAGTATTTCACATGAACTTGAGAATAATGTGTATCCTTCTGTTGTTGGATGAATTAGTCTATAAATACCTATTATATTTAGTTGATTGATGGTGTGGTTGAATTCAGGTGTGTCCTTACTGAATTTCTGCCTGCTGAATCTGCCAATTTCTGATAGAGGAGTTTTGAAGTGTCCACTATAATAGTGGATTCTTCTAGTTCTCTTTGCATTTCTGTTGATTTTTCTCTCACACATTTTGATATTCTGTTGATAGGCACATATACATTAAAGATTGTTATACTATTTTGGAGAATTGACCCCCTTAGCATTATGCAATGTCCCTTCTTTATCTGTGATACCTTTCCTTTCCCTGAAGCTTGCTCTCCCTGAAATTAATATAGCTTCTCTTGCTATCTTTTGATTAATGTTAGCATGGTATATCCTTGGCCATCTATTTATTTGTTTTTTTAAGTTTCATTTTTAGGCCAGACATGGTGGCTCACAACTGTAATCCCAGCACTTTGGGAGGCCAAGGTGGGTGAATCACATGAGGTCAGGAGCTCAAGACCAGCCTGGCCAACATGGTGAAACCCTGTCTCTACTAAAAATACAAAAATTAAGTGGGCACTGTGGCACACACCTGTAGTCCCAGCTATTCCAGAGGCTGAGGCAGGAGGATCACTTGAACCTGGGAGGCAGAGGTTGCAGTGAGTTGAGATTGTACCACCACACTTGAGCCTGGGTGACAGAGTGAGACTCTGTCTCAAAAAAAAAAAAGTTTTATTTTTAGTTGACAATTATATATATTAACGGAGAATGGGACACAAGGTAATGTTTTGATATCTGTATTCACCATGAAATGATTAGATCAAGCTAATTAACATGTATCAATACTTTTAAGTTTTTTATACTGAGAACACTTAAAATGTATTCTTTTAGCAGTTTTGAAATATGATACATTATTAACTATGGTCACCATACTGTGCAATAGATGTCAAAAACTTACTGTCTTCTCTAACCGAAACTTTGTATTCTTTGGTCAACATCTCTCATCCATTCTCTACTCCTGATAACTATCATTCTATTTTTTACTTCTATAAGGTTGACTATTTTAAATTGCACATAGAGGTGAGATTGTGCAGTATTTGTCTTTCTGTGCATAGATTATTTCACACAGTCCGCCAGGTTTGTCTATATTGTCCCAGTGACAGAATTTCCTTATTTTTACAGGCTGACTAGTATTCCATGTATATATATGTCACATTTTCTTATCCATTTCTCTGTTAATGGACACTTAGCGTGATACCATATCTTGGCTGTGGGAACAATTCTGCAATTAACATGGGAGCATAGATATCTCTTCAGCGTACTGATTTCAATTCTTTCTAATATATACCCAGAAGTGGGGTTACTAGATCGTATGATACTCTAATTTTAGTTTTTTGAGGAACCTCCATGCTGTTTTCCTGTAATGGCTGTACTAATTTACATTACAACAGTATACAAGTGTTCCTTTTTCTCCACATTCTTGCCAGCACTTGTTATCTTTTGTATTTTTGACGATAGTCCATCTAACGTGTAAGATAATCTCTCATTGTGATTCTAATTTGCTTGATTATTCCTTGATTATTAGTGATGCTGAGCATTTTTACATAAACCTGTTAGCCATTTGTATGTCTTCTTTTAAGACATATCTCTTCAAGTCATTTGTCCATTTAAAAATCAGGTTATTTCTTTTCTTGCTATTAAGTTGAGTTATCTATTTGGGATATTAACCCCTTATCAGATGTAGGTATACAGATTTTCTCCTACTCTGGGTTGTCTCTTCACTCTGTAAATTGTTTTCTTTGCTATGCAGAAGCTTTTTAGTTCATGCCATTCTATTTGTCTATTTTTGCTTTTCTTGTCTGTGCTTTTGAGGCCATATCCAAAGAATCATTGCTCAGACCAAAATTATCGAGGTTTCCCCCATGTTTTCTTATATTATTTTTACAGTTTCAGGTGTTTAAGTCCTTAATCTATTTTGAGTTGATTCTTATATCTGATACAAGGGTCCAGTTTCATTCTTCTGTGTGTGGATATTATTTTCCCAACCACCATTTATTGAAGAGACTGTCCTTTCTCTATTGTGTATGCCTGGCAACTTTATTGAAAATCAATTGACCATACATGCATGGGTTTATTTCTGGACTTTATTCTGTTCCATTGGTTGATCCTCTGTTTTTATGCCAATGCCATGCTATTTTTTTTTTTAATTGATATATAATAGTTCTTTGTGGCTGGGTGAGGTGGCTCACGCCTGTAATCCCAGCACCTTGGGAGACCAAGACGGGAGGATCACGAGGTCAGGAGATCGAGACCATTCTGGCCAACATGGTGAAACCCTGTCTCTACTAAATATAAAAAAATTAGGTGGGTGTGGTGGCACACGCCTGTAGTCCCAGCTACTCAGGAAGCTGAGGCAGGAGAATCGCTGAACCCAGGCAGCAGAGGTTGCAGTAAGCCAAGATTGTGCCACTTCACTCCAGCCAGGCGACAGAGCAAGACTCTGTCTCAAAAAAAAAAAAGAAAAAAAAAAAAGTTGTTTGTATTTTTGTGGTACATGTGATATTTTTTACATGTCTACAATGTATAATGATCAAATCAGGGTAATTGCTATATCCGCCACCTTAAACATATATCTTTTTTTGTGTGTTGGGAACATTCCAAGTTTTTTCTAGCTATTTTGAAATATACAATAAATTATTGTTAACTATATGGTCTCTTTCCTAAATGCCATGCTATTTTGATTACTGTTGCTTGGTAGTATATTTTGAAATCAGGTAGTGTGAAATCTCTAGCTTTGTTCTTTTTGCTCAAGATCTCTTTGGCTATTTGGGGAATTTGTGGTTTCATATGAATTTTTGGATTTTTTTTATTTCTATTAAAAATGACATTCGAATTTTGATTTGAATTTTGCATTGAATCTCTAGATTGCTTTGGGTAATATGAACTTTGTTTTTGTTTTGAGATAGAGTCTTGCTCTGTTGCCCAGGCTGGAGTACAGTGCACAATCATAGCTCACTATAGCCTTGATCTCCCTAGCTCAAGTGATCCTCTCACTTCAGCTTCCTGAGTAGCTGGAACTACAGATGTGCACTACCATGTCTGGCTAATTTCTATATTTTTTGTAGAGATGGGGTTTTGCTATGTTGCTCAGGTTGGTCTCAAACTCCTGGGCTCAAGCAATCCTCTCACCTTGGATTCACAAAGTGTTGGGATTATTGGTGTGAGCCACTGCACCCAGCCACTCTGAACATTTTAACAGTATTAACTCTTCCAATCCATGATTATGGGATGTCTTTGCACTTATTTGTATTTTCTTCAATTTTTAAAATTAATGTTTTATTGTTTTCAATATACAAATCTCTCACCTCCTTGGTTAAATTTACTCCTATGTATTTTATTTATTTTTTGATGCTGTTGTAGATGGAATTGTTTTCTTAATTCATTTTTCAGACAGTTTGTCATTAGTGTATAGAAATGATACTTATTTTTATATGTTGATTTTTGTATCCTGTAACTTTACTGACTTCACATATCAGCTATAACAGTTTCTTGAAGGAATATATAAGATCATGTCCCTAGTAAATAAAAACAAGTTTATTTCTTCCTTTCCTATTTGGATGCCTTTTATTTATTTTTCTTGCCTAATTGCTTTGCCTGGGACTTCCAATACTATGTTGGAAAGAAATTTCATCTATTTACTTTTACTTTTTTTGTTGTTGTTGTTGTTATTTAGTCTTTATTTCATAATCATAAACTTAACTCAACTCTGCAATCCAGCTAGGCATGGAAGGGAATAAGGAAAACGTGGAACCCAAAGGGAACTGCAGCGAGAGCACAGATTTTAGGATACTGCGAGCAAATGGGGTGGAGGGGTGCTCTTCTGAGCTACAGAAGGAATGGTCTGGTGGTTAAGATAAAACACAAGTCAAACTTATTAAAGTTGTCCACAGTCAGCAATGGTGATCTTCTTGCTGGTCCTGTCATTCCTGGACCCAGAGCGGTCCATGGCCTCCACAATATTCATGCCTTCTTTCACCTTGCCAAAGGCCACATGCTTGCCATCCACCCACTCAGTCTTGACAGTGCAGATGAAAAACTGGGAACTGTTTGTGTTGGGTCCAGCATTTGCCATGGACAAGATGCCAAGACCTGTATGCTTTAGGATGAAGTTCTCATCATCAAATTTCTCCCCGTAGATGGACTTGCCACCAGTGCCATTATGGCGTGTGAAGTCACCACCCTGACATATAAACCCTGGAATAATTCTGTGAAAGCAGGAACCCTTATAACCAAATCCTTTCTCTCCAGTGCTCAGAGCACGGAAGTTTTCTGCTGTCTTTGGAAACTTGTCTGCAAACAGCTCGAAAGAGACGCGACCCAAGGGCTCGCCGTCGACGGCAATGTTGAAGAACACGGTGGGGTTGACGATGGCTGA